TTTCCTTTCTTCATTGCTAATAAAAGAACACAAGTTTCCATTTATTTTAATGATTAGTTTAGCTGTATCAAATAACTTCAGATCCATGTTGTTTCTGTTATTTGTGAGTATCTAAAATTGCCTGAAGTTTTAACAATTTTTACTTATCTACCATTTTTTTCCCATTTCTTTCCTCTCATGATTTTGTATTTGTACACACTAGTTCTTAGAAAAAAAGTTTTTCCTAAAAAATGTACCACACATGTTTTACGTAAGATAGTATCATCACCAGAATAAAAAACATTTTTTTTTTGCAATAATGTCAGGGTTAATCTGCCAATTCGAATCTGTGGAGGATGTCGTCTTGGGTGCTGCAGAGCAGAGTTCCTTGGAGTGGTTGGTGGAGACGGTTTAATGGGCGCTGACCCTGGCCAGGTGGATGGGAACAACGGGGGAGAGGCGAGGGTGGGAGGAGACCGGCCAAGGATGAGCCAGAGCCTCAGGGCCCCGGGACTTAGGCTTCAGGTCCCAGTTCCTCTCTGCCGGAGCGCCCGGGAGACACAGACCAGGGGGCGTCGCAGGTGCGTTCGCAGCTGCCTCTGGCACAGCCGCCCACCGACGCGCGTGTCCCAGACGACCGAAGCTCTTCTTACCCCGCCTCCCGGCACCCCCAACAAGGGCTCCGATTTTTGGAAACAGCAAAAATATCCAAATAGTTACACATGCAGCGCTGTGCTGCTTGTTTCTGTCGCGAAGGTGGCAACTGTCCCGCCCCTCAGCCTCTGCAGGTCCCTCCCTCCCTCCCAATGACCTCTGTACCAAGCGAATAGGAGGCCTCGGGCCGCGGGGGCTGCTGCAGGGTGCCGGGGTGCCAGGGCACAGGCCGCGGGACAGGGCAGAGTCCCAAAGGTGCGGTCCCCCCTGCCCCTTGCGGCGCGACCTCTGCCAGGCCGCGCCTAGAATTGCTCCGGGATGGTGACAGTGTTCACTTCCCTGGCAAGTTCTCAGTTGTCACTTTCCTCTCTTCCCGTCTGTTCCTCACCTCCTCCTGCTGCTGCTCCCTGATGCTTGCCAGCTGCGCCTGCTCTGTCTTCCCAGCTAAATGCACGGTCAAGTAGTGCGCTTTTTACTTTTCTGCTTCTCTGTTCCTTTTCTCTCTGTCCCTGAAAACTCTTGTGGCGTGTCCAGATCCTGTCCCGTGAGCTTTGGGGTTGTCTGTGCTACCCGGCAGGGGTTCCCTTCCATGTCTTGTGCTTTTGCTGGTTGTTTTCATCTCCATCCTCTCACCTGAGCCTAGAGGCGCCTTTTCCTTTGGGGGTCACCTGCAGCTCCATCTGCACCTGCTCCTCATCTTCTTCTGCCCTAACCTCTTGCTTTTCAGCCTGGAGCTGAGCAGCCATCTCCTAAGGGCTCAGAACCTGCCTTGCCCAGCTTTTGTGCCCCCTTCCTCCCTCCGAGAGGCATCACAGGGCTCCACAGGCTCAGGATGAACTCTTTAGAGGATAATTCTTTCAATACTCATCTTTAGGCAAGGCCAGTGAAATTATAGCCAGAAGTTGTGGAATGCTAACATAGACTATTTTCTGGAGAAGTTCTGTTTTACCATATTCTTCACCAAATTTTTAACTATGACAGATCTATTTATGTTTTCTTCAAAAATTTTTTTGAAGATTTATTTATTTGAAGCCAGCATGACAGAGAGGAAGAGACAGAAATAGAGATCTTCTCTCAGTTTGTTAAGATGCCAAATGCTGGCAACACCTGGTACTGGGGTAGAATGAAAACAAGAGCCAGGAACTCCATCTGGGTCTCCCCCGTGGGCGGCAGGAACCCAGGTACTTGGGCCAACACCTGCTGCCGCCCAAGTGCATTATCAGGAAACTGGGTTGAAAGTGTAGGCAAGGGGCCAGCATCATAGTATAGCAGGTTAAGCCACCAACTGATATGCCAGAATCCCATATGGATGCCAGTTCTAGTCCCAGCCCCTCCACTTTGTTTTCTTTCTTTTTTAAATAAGTCCTTAACATTATTTTATCATGTTTTTAGAACACTTTTATTTAATAAATATGAATTTCATAGATGCAACTTTTGGAATATAGCGGTTCTTCCCCCCGTACCCACCCTCCTACTCCCAAACTGTCCCACCTCCTACTCCCTCTCCCATCCCATTCTTCATTAAGATTCATTTTTAATTATCTTTTTTTTTTTGACAGGTAGAGTTAGACAATGAGAGAGAGAGACAGAGAAAGGTCTTTCTTTCATTGCTTCACTCCCCCAATGGCTGCCATGGCCGGCGCACCGCGCCGATACAAAGCCAGGAGCCGGGTGCCTCCTCCCGGTCTCCCATGTGGGTGCAGGAACCCAAGCACTTGGGCCATCCTCCACTGCTCTCCTGGGCCACAGCAGAGAGCTGGACTGGAAGAGGAGCAACTGGGACTAGTACCCAGCGCCCCTAACTGGGACTAGAACCCGGGGTGCCGGCACCGCAGGTGGAAGATTAGCCAAGTGAGTCATGGAGCCAGCCTAATTATCTTTATATACAGAAGATCAACTCTATACTAAGTAAAGATTTCAACAGTTTGCACCCACACAGACACACAACATATAAAGTACTGTTTGAAGATTAGTTTTACTGTTCTCATAGTACAACACATTAAGGACAGAGGACCTGCATGGGGAGCAAGTGCACAGTGACTCCTATTGTTGAGATAACAATTAACACTCTTATTGATGACATCAGTGATCACCCAAGGCTCTTGTCATGCTGCTCCACTTTGAATCCAGCTCCCTGCTAACACGCCTGGGAAAGCAGCAGAAGATAGCCCAAGTGCTTGGGCCCCTCCCACACACGGGGGAGACCCACACGAAGCTCCTGGCTCCTGCCTGGCCAGCCTGGCTATTCCTGGCCGTTGCTGCCATCTGGGGAGTGTACCACCAGATGGAAGATCTCTCTCTCTCACTCTCTTTCTCTCTCTCTCTCTCCCTCTCTGCCCGCTGATGAAATTCTATTCCTTAATATTCTTAGCGATTAATGAATGAATAAAGGTGCTGATTTTTTTTTTCTTATAACAGCTATGGGAGGAGGCAGATTGGAGAGCGGCAAGGAACTCCATTATAAGTGCAGTTGACTGAGTGTGACTTACAGCGCAGTATCACTTCAGCTAGATGCTTGCACTCCAACGCCACTGCCTGCGGTTCCTCGGGCACACAAGCCGGGCAGTCAGTTACTCTCACTCGGTGACTGAGGTCTGTGGTGGTCGGAGCGATGTCTCTGAACTTTGGTGAGCCCTTGGCTCACATTGCTGGTAAGCGGGGCTGGAGGTGGATTGATGGGCTTGGCAAGACAGTGTCTCATCCTTTGGGGCATCAGAAGGCGTGCACACAGTCACCCTTATTTATGCGTGACAATTTCTGCACAGGGACTGTGTTTATCAGGGCTTTAGCCAATCACTAGCGGAAGGCTCACCCTTACTCAGAGTTTGCTCCATGCCACCGAAACTTGGTTCCTCTTCCTCCCACAGCCTCTGTGCCAATTCTCAGCTGGAAGTGAAAACTAAACTATTTGGAAAGGCAAAGTAACAGAAATGAAAATAAATACTTCCATCAAAATGAGGCTTGAACACTCTAACATTTTGCTGAGCTAAGAACATCCACTAGGGCATGGGGTTAGCCTGGCAGGTAAGTCTCCAGCTCCAGACGCCAGCTTCCTGCTGATGCAGACCCTGGGAGCCGGCAGTGATGGCTCAAGTAATCCATTCCTGCCACTGGTGTGGGAGATCTGGACTGAGTTCCCAGATCCTGGCTTTAGCTCAGCCCAGTTCTGGTTCTTGTGAGCATTTGGGCAGTAAACCAGCAGATGGAAGTATGCACTGCCTCTCATATATTGTTTAAAAACCAAAAGAACATTTAGCTACAGCCTCTTTTGCACATGAGATAAATAAAGCTAACAGAGGTCAAGTAATAGCCTCATGGTTAATAAAGACAAAAAGTTAATAAACGGTGTAGAGAGTTACAAAGTGGTTCCAAGCCTGGTTTTGTGAGGAGTGATGATTGTAAGATTTAACGAAAGCAGGATTATTGCTAATTGACACTGAGTATGCTTATCTCTGCACTGTCACTCAGCAGTGTTTTCTCAGGCTCTTGGCAGCTTTATCACGTAGAAAGAGAGGGGACTAATGAGATATGGTCAAAGCCAGGCCCCCCTGGGAGAAGACTGGTCCTCTGTAGTAGGGGTGTGGAGAAAGTCAAGAAATAAACCCTTTGCATCTTCATTGTGGTTTAGTACTTGGTAGGGGTAGATGTTTTATGTCTGCTTTTGATTTTTCAGAAAGCACGCACAGGCTTCTTGCAGTCAAAAGGGACAGGGGAGATGTTTCTTTTTACAAATATAATTTAGGGCTGGCATTGTGGCCCAGCAGGTTAAACTGCTGTCTGCAGTGCTGGCATCCCATTTGGGTACTGGCTCAAGTCCCAGCTGCTCCACTTCTGATTCAGCTCCCTGCTAATGTGCCTGGGAAAGTAGTGGAAGATGGCCCAAGTACTTGGGCCCCTACACGCATGTGGGAGACCCAGAAGAAGCTCCTGGCTCCTGGCTTTGACTTGGTCCAGCCCTAGCCATTGTGGCCATTTGGGGAGTGAATCAGCAGATGGAAGATCTCTCTCTCTCTCTCTCTCTCTCTCTCTGTGTGTGTGTGTGTGTGTGTGTCTCCCTCTCTCTCTGTAATTTTGATTTTCAAATAAAATAAATGAATCTTTAAAAATAAAGAATATGATTTAAGATCCTGGTGCAGCACTCAATAAAGAGCCTTTCAAGACACAGTATTTCAGTTCAGGTCTCCTGTTCTCCCTTCTCTCCTGATTCCAAAATGCTACACACAGCCACAATGCAAGGGTGGGGTCACGGCATGCTGTCAAGGGGCTTTCCTGGAAGGCAGGGTGTGGCTGGGTTTGTGCCCACTCCTGAGTCACAAAGACTTAAGCAGAATCCCTAAGCAGCAGCCCCAGTAAGGGGGTGACCATTGCTACGCCAGACAGGACAGCAGTGGCTCCCAAATCCAAACCTATTCCTTCCCATCCACACCACTGCTGGTCCCAGGCCTTGGTTCTTTTGACCTTTGAGACATCACTGTCCTCGCCATGGCCCAGTCTTCAGTTCTATGTCTACAACTTCAAGAACTTTCGTCTATGGTGCCAAACTAAACAACAGAGACAAGATGTGTAGGAGTGCAAGGGCTTCCCAGGTTTGTATTATTATTCTCCATGCATTGTTCAGAAATAGTATGTTCCTACCTCAGATAGCTTGCAGTTGGTTCAATTCCGAAAACTCACCCTGGGGAAAGGCCATTTTCTGCACGGCAGATGCGTGGGGCCCTTGACTACCTAAGCCAGTGAGTTCAAGGGTGATTTCTCTCACATACACTTGCACTCTCCACTCTCTAGTCCCCTTCTGACTTCACCTCAGTAATTTGCAAGCTTCCTCTTTAGGCAAATGTACTTGTTTCAATACAAATAATCACTGCTAGGATGGATCCTAACTGAAAAAGAAATAATTCCCTTCCTCTCAATCCCCTTTCAAGTTTAGATAAAAATTCAATAATCAGAACAATTTCTGTGGGTTGATTAGGAGAGATGGAGGGAGGTGATGGAGAGATATTGGGAGACGGAACTGGGTAATCTTGCTCACTTTCCTCATATGCTTCTGTTTCCTTGGTGAACTCATTTTTGTCGCTCCCCCTCTTCATGGAGGAACGACACTAAACCCTGCCTAGGCTTCATATCCGAGTCACGGCACCATTATGTCGCTCCCCCTCTTCGCGGAGGAACGACACTAAACCCTGCCTAGGCTTCATATCCAAGTCACGGCACCATTATGTCGCTCCCCCTCTTCATGGAGGAACGACACAGGACCCTGCGCTGTTCTTTCGTCTGCTCGGCCCTCCCCGGGTTTGCTGCTGGTTCTTCCCGGGTTGGCTACCGTCCCACCACCTCCATGGAGGGGCGGGCCCCCTGCCACTTTCCCCACTTCCGCAGGGGAGCGGCACACCACCGGCCGGCTCTCTCGGGGGCTGCACAGGTGTTCCTTTAGATAGATGTTCCTGGTGCATGTTGTCTCTCTCCTCCTTTATAGTCCTCTTCCACCAATCCCAACTCTGCTACCCACACGCCGAGTACGCTGCTCTCCTCCAATCAGGAGCAGGTCCTGCAGCTTGTTGGTTGAACTGGAGGCAGCTGTGTAGAAGCTGTTTCCTCCCTTCTCAGCACCATATTGTGGGACAGCAGATGCATAGAATAAGTCTTAATTCCAGTAACTTAGTCTAGTCCAAGTTGCTCCCAGTTGTTCCCCACAATTTTCATAAATTTCTTCAGAATCTTGCTCAAGAGGAACTCTTTATTTTTTTCAGCCTAGCCTGGCCAATCCTTTTTATGTTATTCTCCTATTTACACAGAGCGTGGTGTACCCTATCATGCCTTCTCTATTGTAGCTCATGTGTTATACATGTTTCTATGATTTGAATATGGTTGTCCCCCCAAATTTATGCAGGAGTTTAGTCCCCTAAGTCCTATATTAACAGCAGGATGAGGGGCCGGCTGGTGCTGTGGCATAGCAGGTAAAGCTGCTGCCTGCAGTGCTGCCATCCCATATGGGTGCTGGTTCGAGTCCTAGCTGCCTCACTTCTGATCCAGCTCTCTGCTATAGCCTGGGAAAACAGTAGAAGATGGCCCAAGACCTTGGGCCCCTGCACCCATGTGGGAGACCTATAAGAAGCTCCTGGCTCCTGGCTTCAGATTGGTGTAGCTCCTGCCTGTTGTGGCCAATTGGGGAGTGAATCAGCAGATGGAAGACCCCCCCCCCGCCACTCTCTTTCTCTCTCTCTGTAACTCTGCCTTTCCAATATATAAATAAAGCTTTTAAAAAAAAAGTAGTAAGAGGGTGGAAACTTAGATGTGGGGTCTTTGGGATGTGCTTGCATGGAATTGGGCCATTAGTGGGTCGTTTGGATGGAGCCCCCTGTTGAGTCATGATGGCTTTATAAGGAGAGGGAGAAGGAACAGGCAGACAGTTCACATACACTCTGCCCTGATGTGACATAGCAAGGGAGCCCTCACTTGAGCCCGTGTCATACGTGGACCCTCCTTGCACCTTTGCCTTCTTTGTAAAGCAGCCTGAAGGATTTTGTTATAGTAATGAAAAGCAGCCTAACACAACATGATCTGTTTTACCTTCCTAATTGGAGAGTGAGCGCTTTTTAGGAAAACACTGCTCTTGCTTTATTTGTGTTTTGCTTTAGAAAGACACCTCATCACCAATAAATACTTTAAAACAAACCCCTAAACGAATAAACACATGGCTGAGTCGCATTTTTCTCTTCTCTTAGTCATTGTGTTTCCAGATGATGGTTTCTGTCAAAATTAGATGTGTGAAACTGACTAGATTCTGCTTTAACTTTCTGCATCTATGTGTCTTGTACACAAATATTTGCTGAATGACTTTAATTTGTATTTAAAAACTTGATCACTGAGTGAAAAGCTACAAAAAATACTTTCCATTATTTTAATTGTAACAATGAACCCAACATACCTAACAGATGGGAAGCATATAGATTAAATAAACTAAACTTAAATAAATAATAAACAGGGGCCAGTGCTATGGCGTACCTAGTAACACCACCACCTGTGACACCGGCATCCCATATGGACACCAATTTGAAACCCTGCTACTCTACTGCCATTCCAACTCCCTGCTAATGTGTCTGGGAAAGCAGTAGAAGACGGCCCAAGTGCTTGGGTCCCTGCACCCACGTGGGAGCCCCAGAAATTTTTCCTGGTTCCAAGCTATAGATGGGCCCAGTTCCAGCCATTGCAGCCATATGTGGAACCAGTGCATGAAAGATCTCTGTGTCTCTGACTCTCTCTCTCTCTCTCTGTATATAACTCTGCCTTTCAAATAAATAAATAAATAAATCTTAAAATAATAAATAATAAACAAAAATGAAATAGGTAGCTGTGGTTTCCACATATGAGGATGCATTGTATCCACCAAAGGAGGAAGAGAAGACTGAGTTGTGGAGGGTGACCAATGCACGGAGGTGAGAGGGGCTCTTTTTTTAAAGGTGGTGAAAATTCGGTACCAGGAGGGCATTCACTATCAGACTTCAATGTGACGAATGGTTTCCTTTCCTTCAGACGCTTGCAGGTAAAAGCTAAATGCAAGAAGACTCCGTAAGACATTGAGAGGGGAGCATGCAGGGCAGATTGCACAGACGCCGCACCGGGGCCATCCCCTTGGCGAGGCACACCTAGACCAAGCCCGCTGTTGGCGTTCATCTCAACGCGGCGGGCAGCCCAGAGCTGTTTCACGTGCTAGCCCCCGGCTAGCGGCAGGCAGGTCAGGTCACTGGGGAAGAGTCCTGTGTCATTAGGACCTAGCAGAGAGGACCTAACACAAGGAATCAGGCAGTCGAGGTCTGAAAAGACAAACGCGACACCGACGCAACAGAGGAACAGGAACTGCAGGACGCGGCTCTCAGCCTGGAGTAGGGGAAGAAGCAGAGAGGCCGGGCTGTCGGAGCTGGGTAACTTGGATGAAGGGGCTCCCGAAGCTGGGCTCTCACTTGTGCTGCTGCCGGGTAAGTACCTCCTGCTGCTGGGACTTAGTCCGGCAAGAGGCTGTGCCCACGAGCTCTGCTGGGAACCACGAGGGGGCGCCATATAAAAGAAAAGCAATTAGAAACTTCTGCCACCAGGGCGAACGACCACTGCTGGCGTGGTGCTGCCAGGAACACGAAGACTAGCAAAGCAGCAAGTCTCGTGCCTCCCCTCCAGCCTCTCCTCTCTTTCTAACACCCTTTGTGGAAGAAGCTCGTACACAGCGAGAAAACCAGCGGAGACGTGCAGAGTCCTCACTCTCGCATCAACAGCAGACCAGAGAGGGTGAGTGCGCCTGGACACCTCCCGTCGCACCCCTCCTCACACACCCTTCTCTACGGTGTCTTTGCTTGAAATCAAGTTTCATTCTTTCAATTAATGCATATCAGGTGCATCTTATGTTCCAGCCATGGTGAGGGTGATTCCAGTTCATACTCTCATGGGTACTTGTTGGTGGGAAATTAAAAACATTAACAGATTAAAAAGTGAGCATATAAAATTTAAATAAACATATCAAGTAGTAGTAAATGCTATAAGGAAAGTGAACAGAATCAATAATATAATATATACAGATAATATAAAGTTGGAAAAAATGAAAGAAGATGGATAATTTCATACACTATTAATAGAAATAAATTGGCAAATCCTTTGGGAAAAGTGTTTTTAGCTAATATAAACAAATTTGAACTTTGACCAATAGGTTGATAGAGTAGGGTGAATCCTATGAAACTGTCACTATTTCACAAGTTTTAGCCTAAGAAATGAACTTGAAGATGGATCAAAAGAAATTTGTTAATACTGAACACTGTATAAGAAAAAGAAAAGAATCTGAGATGTTTTCATAATTTCAGGAGATTCTAAGTGAGAAAAGAACTGAAAAGGACTATAATTTATTTCTCACTTTGGTGGCCCCATTGCTTGAGGCTCTGTGTTAGGTAAGGCAAAGATTCCCTCCTGGACTGCTATGAGAGGTGGCTTGCATAATTTCTATGGCTCTTTGTATCCATTCTTGGTGTCCTAGGGAACTATCCCGCCTTTTCTGATTCCCAGTCCATATACTTCACTGCCTGAGTGATCTTCCTCTGTCCTCCATCTGTAAGTCCTAGATCGGACTCTTTTTCCTTAGGAAGTTATGGTTTCCACTACAGCACAATGTCTAAGTATTTTATTAAGTTTGATTGCTCTGAAGACTACTTGCCACCTAAAAATTGGGAACGTGGCCCCAAGCCAAAATTTATGCATATCATTTTGAAGCAGGAAATGTGACAGCCATGCACATAGGAAACAATGGCAATGACTGTTTCCGGATTCCACATTAGATAGGAAGGTACTGCAAAAAGTTTATGCAATAATAGAATTAAAAGATGAGTTTATTTTGGTGCAAAACAGTTTTAAAATCATGTATAGTATTTTCATAATATGCATTTTCTATTATTTTTATGATGTCTTTTATGCTTGGATTTCAATTTTTTCCCCAAAATACGTTTTTTAAAATTTCTGTATTTATTTTCATTTATTCAAAAAGCAGAGCAGGAATGTGGGAAAGACAGTGAGAGAGAGAGAGAGAGACCTTCCATTTGCTGGTTCACTCCCCAAATCCTCAAACAAGCTAGAGCTGGGAGAGGCCACAGCCAATAACCAGGAACTCACTCCTGGCCTCCCGTGTGGGTGTCAGGGACCCAGGTACTTGAGCCACCTTCTGCTGCCACTCAGGGTGTGCATGAGCAGGAAGCTGGATGGTAAATGCTCATGGGACTCAAACCCTAGCACTCCATTATAGGATACAGATGTCCCAAGCGGCAGCTTAACAATGGTGTCACATGACCTCACTGAATTTATCTTTTAATTCAATTTTCCCTGAACTTTTAAAAATACCTCCATAATGCATGGACTGGTTATTTGGGCTAGCTGATGGCCAGGGTTGCCAGGTATTAGATTTCTCGGGTCCTTTGTAAAATAATCCCAGGATTATCTCATTGTGAGATCAGAACCACCAAAGTAGCTCTAGGATGAAAACTGATGGAGAATTTCTCTCACTTCCTTAAAGCCGAAGTTCACCATTCTCACCCTGAGCTTTGATGCTTCCGAGTCACGTTGACAGCACAGCCACTTTTCTGGGACAGACCAGCTTGGGTTATTTAAATCCCTGCTCTTCTCACTTGAAGACACTTGAGGCAACCTGCTGATGAATTCCATGTGACCTGTCTCTTGTAGGTAGAGTTTGGTTAAGCGTGCTATACTGTCTCACACAGTGGGTGCACGCATTGAATCAGGTTTATACGCGGCAGGTGTGTGTGGTTATGAATCACGTGGAAAAGTGAAGAATGCCTCGTGGAAAATGGAAGACTACCATGTAGCAGCTAAGGAACTTGATTGTTGATGTAAAAGGGGTGCACTACATTTCCACATTGAACGCTATCTACCCAAAGGGAGAGGCAAACAGTGGAGTCACCACTCACTTGAACCACAAGGACCACTGCTTCCTAGGGTGTAGTAGATGCTTCCTTGCCCGAGGCTCACCGAAGGTCATGCTCTCTGGGCACCAGCTGCAGGGCATCATCATAGCAAGGACAGCAGCCCAGCTGACTGAGCTCCTGCAGCTACTATGTAGGTCTACAAGCTCCCCCTTGTGGTCAGCTGTCAACTTACAGCTGCATGCCGTGACCACCACTGCGTGCCATTCTTGTGCTCTTGCTCTTACACATAGTTGGAACACGAAGAGAGCCGAGCTACGGATTACTATAAAATGCATTATAGCTCATCCTAATTGTCTAGCTAACATGATTCTGATTTGCCTTTTTGTTTCCATTTCTTCTTTTGTGAAAAAATATGCAAGGATTCTGAAAAATTTAATAATTATTTATTTATTGAAAGAAGGAAGAGAAAGAGAGAGGAAGAGAGAGGAAGAAAGAGAGAGAGAGGCAGAGAGAGAGAGAGATCTTCCATCTGATGGTTCATTCCCCAAATGGCCACAACAGCCAGGAGCCAGGAAATCCATCCTGGACTCCCACATGGGTGGCAGGGTCCCAACACTTGGGGGCATCGTCTGCTGCCCTCCCTGGTGCTGTAGCAGAGAGCAGGACCCAATGTGGAGCGGCAGGGACCTGAGCCAGCACTCTAAGATGGGATGCTAGTGCTGCAAGTGGTGGCTTAACCACTTGCAACAATGTGGGCCCCAGGATTTCGAAAAAATTTTGTGCACCAAAATAAGCTTCTCTTTTAATTCCATTTCCCCCATGAACCTTTGAAGCACCCCCACGTGTGACTTCTCAGTTGTCAATTGCCTTCCTTATCAACAGTCAACAGGAGGAGCTATTAGGACAGAATGAATGGTTTCGACCACCCCGCTAGACATCAAACACGGGCCTCCCTCCCTCTTGACTTCGTCTGCCCAGAACCCCAAGAAGGTAACAACCATTTCTCT